GCAGGAATTTTCGGTCATAGATGATCCGGGTGCCTACATAATTATTTAGTAATCAAATCAAGATTATATTACATGAAGGAAACAACAGTCTTAGAATAGGCTACAAGAGCAAAGTTGACCGACAAGCCTGTGAAAACATGGAGTCCAGCCAGGTGAGTTCAGTAAGTTCCTTGTTAGTATTGTGGGTTACATTCGATCCAAACATGTCTAAACATGTTCCTACGGCTGTGCAGTTTACAACATTCAAGAGTTGCATCATTAAAACCTGACCCTTGTAAAGTGTCAATGTTTGACACCCTATTTTTCATTACATTTTTTCCTTATCAGAACAGAAAAGCACAAGCCGACAGGCTGAAATGAAGTAGTGAGAACATACTATCAGCTCTCCTCCTATCAGCCCTGTTGAACCTACTGTGAACAGTCACACACAAACATCCTTGAACTACATTCACTTAGTGAGGAAAAGCTAATGAGTGCATTACGGTGTAGAAAACAGCCTGAAACACCTATAAACACAACCCATTGGTTTATGCATAGAAATCAAGCATGATATATTGCTCTTGGGAATTTTTGTCAGGCGACTATTGTGTGTTACATCACGGCTCATCTGATGATCTCTAGACAAACAGTGATTGATACACTATTTACAATCATAAGAATAGCCACCCTTGTGCACTAGAAAAGCAGAAGTGGCCGTTTACAATAGGAAACCAACACAGTCACATGCCTCGAACGGCATCACGTCCATTTTTGGCATCACGTCCATTTTTGTCGACGGTTTACAAATTTTGTCATCTGACAAAATCCACAATGTACATAATAAAACATAAAAGTAATTATAACAGACATGAGAGAATGTTTCTATTTTTCATGAGAATGTTTCATATTTTTCCTCAGCTATAAAAAAAAAGGATACTTTTTCCTTTGAAAAAAGAACTTAAAATAATTAATTCATCTTCAAAAAGTGGACAAATTTCATTAATATCATGCATAATATCAGAACACCACACCAGCCTGTCCAAAATACACTTGAAGGTCGTTCAAGGCCATGATGTCATCTTAAGTAATTGTAATTTCATAAATGAAATGTTCAAAATTTTAAACAGTCAAAACGGCCTGTAAAGAAATAACCTCTTTATTTTGAATGTATACTTATTTAATTTCATTTGTTAATCAATCAATGCCTATTTTTACGTTTAGAATTGTACATCGTAAGCATATTTGAACAGTATTTCTGCCATTCCAACGTCTGAGAAGACCAGCAGAACATTGTTTAGCAAGACAAATAAAGAAGACTGCAGTCGAGTCAATAAAACAATGTTCTTCTCGTCGTAAAGATAACATTCCTGAATTTATGACCCCTTCACAGGTACAGTTAAAAGGCAAACAATACAAGACAAGCAGGCTGGAGCGTTATGAGCACAAAGATAATGCGAGCGGAGATGCATCGCTATGTCGCGGTCATAACAAAAACAATGCATACACCGCGACAGCTGCGAGTGCCCCCAAACGATTCATCTGCAAGTTCGTGACATTTACCTCCAGGAGTCGTGCTAAAGAGGGTCCCTCCGGGCGTCGTAGAGTAATCGTGAGGCATATGGGCCGCATCGTTGATTGTGACTCGTCTGGTGGTCGGAATTGCCTGACTGGTGGTCTTCTGACTGCCCATGGACATTTTCAACACTAGTGCAATCACAAATTCAGCCAGCTGCCTTAATCAAATAGTGTCTCTGCACCTTAGAGCAAAAGAATAAAACAGTTCAGCTCGAATTTAACCGGAAAAAAAATGTATGTTAGCAGCAGTTCGGTATCAAGTTACTTTCTATGATTATTTACCTTGTCCGTTTGTGGCAAACTTTACTACATACAAAAATAAATAATACTAATATTTGAGCCTTTATAACACTTAATTCACACATTCACACTCGCAAACTAGCTAAAATACTAGCCTTCTCCGTGACCACGTTTTCTCTCTCTCCCTCATGCACACACTCAACAAAACACGAGCAGGAAAGGGCTATTTAAAACGGAGAATTGATGCAACGGCGCCCCCACTTGTATGCGGCAGTATTGCAACAGCGCAATGGGAAATGTAGTTTTTTTCGACGTTTACACGAGTTGTACACAGATTCATGGACAAAACTTGACTTGCCATTCGAGTACTTTCATGGCAACATCTCCACCGAAATTACTTAGAGATGATCTTAGTGTTTTTTGTAAGAAAAAAAATCGGATTGATTTTCTCTACATTTTAACAAAATTATTATTATTTTTTTTTAAGTTACTTAGTAGTTATTTTACAATATGTTTAAGTATCACACTGTATAATACACGTGGATATGCAAATTTAATACTGGATATGCAAAATATGATAATTTTGTCAACATCATAAGATTTTCTGTGACAATGGTGACAAGTTGGAGTTGAAAATTATCCTATGTTAAAATATGTACCCATCCTGTAGTCTCCGTTCATTCATTCTTTTACGTTAATAGCCTGCTAGATTTATAAATGCATATCAGTAATATTTGGCACATTCTCTTACACACGCACACAGCGTCACAATATGTCACATCTTTCTTTATTAATTTTTGTAAATGATCTCAGCTGGTGTGCAGGGTAAATGATCTATACATATCTTCATATCAGAATGAATCTGAATAATAGGCTTGTATACATATTCAATGTTCGTATTTCCTGTCTCCGTTACAATAAAAAAAAAGAAATGAAAACATGTTCAAATAGCTACAAAGCCTCTACATTCCCCATGACATGGGCATGTATGTATCACGGGATTCTAACTAATATATTTAAAGTACATCCATAACAACTCTAATAAGGGTGCATAGCATTCTAATTAAATATAGTTTGTCATATATTTATACATATATTCTTTATTAAAAACATATTTTTCTGTGCATGTGCGCAGTTGCATTCCTTAGTACAGAGTAATATGATATTGCGTTTATATTGTCATTAATCCATTCTAAAGGAGTATAGGTGAAGTCTAGTTTTTGCAACAGTTAAACATTGTACATAAACTCTTTTTTTAATACATAATGATTGCAATGTTAGATCGTTTTGTTCCTTAAACAAACCAAAAATAAATAATGAAATAAATAAATAAATATAAATTAATTAATAAAAAACATTCTCTTCCTTTCCCCCATTTTCAGGAATTGTATGTATCAGTTAACAATTACAGCAG